GTTATAAATTTACTTCTATCTTTTTGTTTTTGATTTATTTTTAAGAACAGGTGTTGTTCAGCTTTTTGCCCTTATTGTAACATTTGTCTGAGCTTTTGTACCCTAAAACTAGAGAAGTTGAAGAACATTGAAGTCAATAGCACCGCAGCAACTCCCCGCCCGGAGTGTGATTGGACGCATGGCAAAACATTGCCTGCGCTCCAGTCCAGTGCAAACGCAAAAAAATGCTGCATGCGATTACTGTGCGTTCCAGCATCTACCACTCTGCAACGCACTGCAATTGGTGTGAACTGGCCCTAAGTAAACCTGTCCTAAAATAAATATTGGGACTGGCAATGTTGATCTGAAAAATCAATAAGCCTAAAGCACCACTGGCTTTAAAGACACAGCTCACCTTTTAGAAAAAAATAAAAAATTAGCATTTACTATTTTTTTGCATTGGAGAAACCCAAGCATTGCTACTGGGATCAGTGGATTGCAGATGCAATGCTCTGGCTCCTGCAGACTCTTCCTTCCATCCATGCCCATACCTCAATACAGACATTCAGTAACATGGACAGGAGGAAGAATGAATGGACTACAAGTGCAGCAAAGTCACCGTACTTATATGTCATTGAGATCTAGAACTCCCTCTGCTGCAGTGGCTGATTGGACTTGCAGTTTCCCCATTCACAGATCCTGTCAAAAGATCAAATCTTCTCTTCAGAGAAGGCATCTATGCCTGCTTGTATTTTCAGTTCAAATACTGTGAAGTTACACATAAGACATAAAAATCCATTTCAATGCAGACATTTAAAAAAAATAACCAAACAGGTATCATGCAAGTTGCGGAAAACAGACGCATAAGTAATTCCATTTCTGTCTGGTGCCTAAAAACTATGCCGTTGTTGTTCTGTACATGTGAATGTAATTTATAATCCGTTTCATTTCATATGCCATTTTCAATAGAGCTACAATGGTATCCCTGGTTGTTTAACACGCCATATAAAACCTCCCCAAAATAATGTGGCACAGGATATGCAATAGCAGTAAAATTCCTGGCGATGTAAAAGTCTACCCACACAAACATGTACTCACACACAATGCCCCTAATAATCTCATTTACTCAGCTGCCAGTTCCTACTTTCTGTAATGCATAGCATTTTAACGAGCAGTATTTGGAGGAAACCAAATTATGAGAACAGACAGGAAAGAGGAATTCTCCATGTGTCTATTGCAAGGTCAACGGGATGGGCAAAGAGTCAGGAAAGCCAGTGACAAACAACCAGGACACAAAGCAGCCGCCATGCAAAAGAGGCATCCATAAAACAAGGCAGCATGACACCAGTACATATGTGGAGGAGGCTGTAAACCTAACTATAGAGCACAATAAAATCATCAGAAATGAAAACACACTGGTATCATGGACTGCAGACTTATAAGACAGTGAGAAGTAAATCATTCCTTATTTATAATGACCTATAAACTAGAACAAGCAAACAATTATACCTAGAGATTCTGCCAAATTTACAAACCGCGTCAGTAAGTTGCCAACACACAATATGTAGTATATTTTTATACACAACTAATCCCTGTTACATTACTGAATTTCCCACAATGATAGTATCGTGTAACTGTATGCATCAGCTAGGGATACACCGATACTTTTCAGATACCAGTGCCGATACTTGGCATTTCCATGAGGACTACCGGGGTTGCAGCGGTTGCAGCTGGGACCTGGCTCTGGCTCTCCACCTCTGTCCTGAAATCATTAGTCTGTATTGTTTTAGAAAAACTGTCACATGACAATAAACAAAAATGTATCAGTACTTGTAAGTACTTGGGCAAGTATCAGTACTTGTACTTGCAAAAATGGTATCTGTGCATCCCTTTATATATATTTATAAAGACAAAATCATACATTAAAACAGAGATGTACAAATCCCAGGAGCTCCGTGTGCTCCTTACAAATGACAGCTGCCTACTAACTTTTTAATTTTTTCTCTAGTCTAGTCTTGGAGCTCGAAAAGTATCTGTACTTGTACTGAGTACAGTACTTGGTATCGGTGCATCCCTAGCATCACCCCTTTGTAGGAGATGGTTCAGTCATCATATTGTATATTAACAAGTTCCTATGGTGGGTGATAGGACCAATGCCCATATAGGTTGGCATAATACCATAGAGAGCTGGATGACAAATGACTCTGCATTGTTTTAGAGGCAACAACCCAGGGGTAGAAGTCTGTCTAATCCAGGAGCGAGCAGGATTTGTTTCCACTGACATCAACTAGAGAAAACTTCAAAATTTAGGCGCCAGCTGTCATTTTTATGGAGCAGTGGTGACTTGGCTCCTGGGATTTGTCCAGCCATGCAACAGGCAATACATATTCAGTTTGGTGTCTTGTTTCCATGTTATAAAGACTGCTGATACTCAAATACATGAAAATAATAATACATGAAATGTAATACTTCTTTACAGACATGGAACTTTATGGACTGCTTCAATCGTCCTACATTTTATAGATTGCCCAAACGTTTCTTTACAGTGGGACAACCCGGTGTGAGCTGGCACTATCACCAGACACAAAAGTACCAAGTGCGTCATTTATAAAAGTTGTGCCCAACGTATCGCTGGGTGGTTTCCATTCGCATGGCACTAGTGCTCCAAGATGGCGCTAAGGAGTATAGGAAATTCTTATACTTGTCAGCACTCTCTAGGGGCACAACATCTGCCCAGCCTAATGAACTTTTTGTGCTAGTCTAATGGACAAATATTTCTAATTATGCTTAAAAAGAGCTCTGAATACACAAATCTTGCACTGATGTTCTGACATTCACAATGTGTTCCTTTTTTTTTAGTTTTAGAATGGTTTAGGCTTCCTTCACATCTTTGCAATGGCACACACTATTACATTTTGCAATATTAGGTGCGCTGCAGTGCCAATATTTCTTAATGGTACCCCAAGGCACCCAGCCATCGTTGTATTACACCACATGGCAACCTATTACCATGTGATGTGGTGCAATACGATTTAAGAAAACAAAAAGGGTACACTCACTCCTTCCAATGCAATTCAGCTGCGATAGCAAATTAATGGGCTTCCCTACCACAGTGCACCGCAACACACCCTGCAGCACCTCTACAATTTGCCTGCGCTTCCTGTCCCAGAGATACAACAAGAAGTTAGAGAAAATCTCCCAAAGTGGGGGGAAAACCCCCTTAGGCAGTTGTCTACATTGGAAGATTCCCCTTACCTCTTGTTCTGGGGGCAACACTAAAATTTTGGATTTACCCTCACTCTCTTTCTCAGTGACAATGGTCACCCATTACAAATAATCCCCAAATACACATTAACACTGGACATTTTCACTAAAGGTAAATAGCTGGCTCACAGCAAGCAGCAACATGTTGGTGGGTAACCTCTGAAGACAGTCCCAGAATGGTCTGTAGAATGTCATCTATATAATATCTTTTCAGAAGCCATCTGGTTCCAGGCAATCTGCCGACATTAGGGTTCCCCAAAAAGCTGAACACAGACTTGCAGGTGTATTTAATATGGCAAAGAGCAATAAGCCATAACTCAGAGCAACCAATCAAAATATTTCTTTCACCAGTTGCTTAGAGTTACAGCACATCATACACCATCACTTCCCTGTACACTGCATTGTAACCATCATCAGGAGAAAATGTCCTATCACATCTACACTTTCAAACCAACCAGTTGCATGAGACTGGTTGCTGTAGACCAAGGGCAACCTCAGCACTCTTGCTGTCATAGAACTACAAGTCCCATGAGGGACTGTAAGACTCTGACAGCCATAGCCATGACTCCCAGAGGCAGAGGCATGGTGAGATTTGTAGATTCTGCGCAGTTGGGGTGCCAAGGTTGCCTACCCCTGCTGTAGACAACAGCCTAAGTTATGTTTGACTAGATGTCAACACCCAAAAAAAGAAATATTATACAGTGCATCCTTAGTGGATAACCACATTCTGATACCCTTGTATCTGTATTATATATACTAGTAGATTTAAAGTGACACGAAACTCAGAAGTGAAATCTTAAAGTGCATTCAATTACCTTAACTATTAACAAAAATGTATCTTATTTGTGTATCACTCAGCTGTAGATCCTCAAATCATCTCTGAATTGGTGCTGACACTGTCCTTCTTTCTAGAGGGTGGCTACTTTGGTTCCCCCCACCGCTCCAAGCTCGCTCCCATGATGGACTACAATCTCATGTTTACTTTACTAATTTGTATTGAGATTGTTGTCTATCACAGGAGTGAGCTTGGAGCGGTGGGGGGAACCAAAGTAGCCACCCTCTAGAAAGAAGGACAGGGTCAGCACCAATTCAGAGATGATTTGAGGATCTACAGCTGAGTGATACACAAATAAGATACATTTGTGTTAATAGTTAAGGTACTTGGATGCATTTTTGAGATTTAACTCCTGAGTTTAGTGTCGCTTAAACATTCTTTGGGATGACCACTGATTCAGATATTATATTTCATGAAGATTTTTCTTTCTATGACTAGATCTAAAAAAACAAACTTCCCATTCTCAAATAAACTTTTATAGCTCTTCAGTGGTTGAGAATGTACAGCAATCAGCAAGGATAGGACTTGTGAACGTACATGTGGAAATCTCACATCTTCACAACCTTATTAAATACAAGGATTAAAAGATAGAAGGTTAAGCCTGAAAGCTGAGTGATCATGCTGAGATCTGTAGTTCCACAGGTCACCTGAACACTATATGTCCCCCAAAGTAATGCAAATAAAAAAAGAATGTTATAAAATGGTTACAAGATATAAAAATAAGTAAATATTACATGATTGCCTTTTCCTTGTATCTATTCTTGCTATGGTAAAAAGTTTCCAAGAAAAGTGTACTGAGTGCAGTGAGTGAAGCCAGGGGTGCAGGGGTGACTGTGCTCTGAAAGTGAAGATCCCCGATCTTACTAGGAGATCAGAGGACCTGAAGTGGATCGGAGACATGCAGAATTGGGGGTGTCCTTACCTTGGCAGATGCTGCTCCATGAAGCCAGCATGATGAGAAGCACGATGAGCCCATAAGGTGGCTGCCACCTGAAGTTGCAGTGCTGGTACCTGCCCTGCGTTCTCTCTTCATTGCTGTTCTGCATTGTTATCTGCTTGTCGCAGCTTCTGGGGCTCGGCATCACTTCGTATTCTGCTCGGACAGCACACAGATCCTGATGGCAGCTCCCAGCTTTGTCTGCGCTGCTCCGCTGCGCACCTTTATAGCGGACGCCGGGGGCTGATGCAGCCAGAGAATCGCGCTGAGCACTACGATCACTGACGTCATCAGCCGGTGTGTCCCCGCCCAGTGCATCACACACTCACCCCAGCATTCATCAGCGGGACCCGTCTTCCCTCCAATGCTAAAAATACCCAGGCATTTACTTTCCCGCGTTGGGTGAAGTAACTTTTGGAAAGTAGGTTTGGAAGCCATGCACTGTTCTTGGCATATAGTAATATGGGACTGATTTACTAAAGTGTAGCAGACCCTAAACCCTACTCCACGGAACTCATGGGGTCTGCTTTACTAAGGGCTGATTCGCACCTAAGTGGCGCGCACACTGTCACGCAGCGCACCTAACATGTGGTTCTCTGCGGTTGACTTACATTTGAATGCAGAGGCATATCCACAACAAATTGGGCTCCTGGCCACCAGTGACATCACAGATTACCAGGAGCTGGGCAGGACACCAGCCAGAGCATCCCAGGTTGCTAAGAGCTGGGCAGATATGTAAGGGCCATACACATCTCCCCACCTGTCACGTAGCAACCTCTGGGTGCTCTGGCTGGCATTACGCCCGCATGGGAGGCATGGACCTCTCCCAGCCGCTCTGGTTGCTTAGAGTCAGGCGGGGAGATGTGTATGGCTCTTACACATCTCCCCGCCCAGCTCTTAACAGCCTGGGACACTCTGGCCATTGTCCCGTCCAGCTCCTGGCAACCAGTGATGTCACTGGGAGCTGGACGGGACGCCGGCCTGAGTGTCTCTGATTGCTATGAGCCAGGCGGGGAGATATGAGCGGGAGAGGAGTGGGGAAATAAAAAAGTCAGCTGTTTCTGTGGGTTGGTGAACTTTCTCTGACGCACGGAGTGGTGCCTCCTCTTCATGTGGCACCCTGGGTATGTGCCATGCACTGCATATGCCACTGTTTGAATGGCATGTCAATGCACCTCCCGGCTGCTGTGCGTTGTGGCACAATGTGAGGCACTGCCATACTATGATTAGTGCAACGCTTAGGGGTGAACCAGCCCTTAAGGCAAATAGGCAGTTCACATTGTAAGGGAATTTGCACTTTGCATAGGGAATTTCCTGTTAGCTTAGTGAATGAGGTGAAGCTCGGCTGGTTTCCATCATCCAGTCATGTCCAAAAAAATACAGTTTTTTCGTTTTCTTGCACATGATTGGGTATTCTTTGCAAAGTGAAATTTCACTTGCAGAGTGCGAATTCCCTTGCAAAGTGAACAGCCTATTTGCCTTTGGAAAATCAACCTCTATATTTCTGGCACATCAGTTGCATTTTCTGTACTTGTTTAAAGGAGTGAAATATGGGGAAATATCCATGAGATATGCAAAATACAGTGGCGTCACAAGGGGGGTGTGGTACGCACCCAGGTGACACCATTGGAGGGGTGACACCAAAATGACTGATAGTCATTTTAGTGTCACCCCCTCTGAAAAGTTGGGCACTCGGTCATGGGCCGAGAGCTCGACAGTGTCAGGAGAGAGGAGAGTCCCTTCTTCACACCAGAGCCCCATTTTCACATCAGAGCCCCCTTTTTCTTCAGGAGCCCCCTTCACATCAAAGCCCCGTGTTTCACATTAGAGCCCCCTCTTTCACATCAGAGTCCCCCCTTCACATCAGCACCCCCCCCTTCACATCAGGTGCACCCCTTCACATCAGAGGCCTCCCTTAACATGAAGGTGTGCTACCTTCGTATCAAAAGCCCCCTTTCACATTAGGAGCCCAATTCACATCATAGTCCCTCTTTTATATTAGAGTCCCCCCCCCCCTTTTACTTTAGTGTTCCCCGTTCAGATCAGAATCCCCAGTCACACCAGAGAAGCCACAGTGGTGGCACCATGGCAGAGGCAGTAGGTGAAGCAGGCTTGGATGGAGAATGCTTTAATATAGGAAAGAAAGATTGAGAAAAAATGCAGCCATCAAAGACTGGTAAGCAATATTTGTTCCTGGGTTTAGATACAGGCTGTACACGTAGGAACGTTAACAGAGAACTATGGGGTTAGGGCTTTTCCCCATAGTTCTCCTTAGGGTAACGGGAGGACACAAACTAGCGTCCTCCCGTCACCCTAAGCTCAGTATACCGCGAGCTACAGCTCGCGGTATACTGAGACGCCACAGTATACCGCGAGCTACTGCGAGCGGTATACTGAGGCGCCACAGCTGAAGCGGATCCCGACAATTATGTCTGGATCCGCCCAGCTGCGTGAGTGACAGCTGGCTCTGCCTATCTAGAGGTAGAGCCAGCTGTACCCTCCCCCGTCCGATCCGCCAGTCAGCGCTGGCAGATCGGGGAGGGGGGAATCCAGCCCCTCCCCTGTCACGGCAGAGAGCTGTGACAGGATCGAGAGGTGAGCGAACGCCGGTATGTGTTCGCTCACTTCCTGATCTACTGAGCCGACCTGTGACAGTCTCATTGTCACAGGTCGGCTAGAACTATGAGGTAAGTGAAAATCACTCACCTCATAGTTCTCCTTTAATATAGTATATAAAATGAACTGTGATTACTGTAAAAATATACCATTATATGCTAGAAAAAAATATGCATTTTATTTTTATTTTCCCTCACACATGATTGGGTATTGAAAGTGAATGCAGGTCCATCTCATTTACTAGCATTTACTTTGCAAATGAACAGCCTTTGGTCAATCAACCCTAATGTCTGCTGTTTTCCTAATGTACGAAAAAGACATATGCACCATGGCTATTGGGGACAGGGTGTGCCAAGAGGCTTGCAAGTTATGGAGCCCATAGTGTTCTTTTAAGTCTTCTTGTAAGATGTCCTTGTAGACATAGCACAATAGCATGCAATGCCAGGCTGTGGCTATCAAAGTCAGCAGAATACTCTCATACATTAAAAATGGTATTTGTTCAGGGGATAAATCAGTTACCTCTTTACAAATACTAGTTTAGCTTCATCTTGAGTATGCAGTAGTTCTGGTCACCATCAACAAGAAGGATGTCCTTAAATTAGAAAGAGTTGAGCTAAGAAGAACAATTAAGTAAACTACACTTATTCACCTTAGAGAAGAGGTGTTTAAGATTAGAGGAAAGGTGGTTTAATCTGAAATTGCACTGGAGATTCTTTATGGTTAGAGCAGCAAAAATGTGGAACTGCCTTACACAGGTAATGGTATCAGCTAGGAGTGTTGACAACTTCAAGAAACTTTTAGATGTTTTCCTCAACACCTTGTTGGAAAGAACATCCAGTGACATACTTTATCAACAAACAACCCCCTGCAGTGGGGATCTATTTATTAGTGGAAAGTGAGTTGCATGTCCTCTGGTTTCCTTCCACTCTCCAAAGACATGCTGAAAGGTAATTGGCTCCTGTTTAAATTAGCCTTCGTATGTATGCATGTGAAATAGGGACCTTAGATTGTTAGCTCCTTGAGAGCAGGGACTGATGTGAATGTGCCACTATGTAAAGCGCTGCGTAAACTATTGTATATAAATACCGGTAATAAATAAATCTTGCCATTTCTTACAGCTAAATGCAGGCACCGACAAATGACAATCTTCGGAACTGTCGGTTGCCTCATGTTCCTCTGATACAATACCAAAATTGAATCAATTCACCTATTTTAGAGTGGCACATTCTGGTAATGTTATATGACTGACCCTTGTTTATTAATTTGTAATAGTGATTTATCTACTTCAGTGTTAAAACTGAACCCCAGTCAAAAATAAGAAGATACAAATAAACAGCCCATTTAATGATGATATAGAAAAAAAAACTGTTTTAGCTGCAATATTCAGCTTGAATACAGACACTTACCCTGCATCACATATTTTCTGGCACTAGATGTCATCAGTCTGATGACCAGCATCATTAAACTTACTTACTCTGAACCCAATTCATCCTGCATCCACCCCAACATTTTAGCGCCTTCTCTGGGGGTAGTACTACATTTATTTATATGTCTGTGAAGGTTATCATTCATCCAGGTTATGGTATATCTGTAAAAGCTGGTTGGACGACCAGTGAAGCGTCTTCAAGAAAAATGCAGCAAGTCCAGTTGCTTTGACTTATTGTTTTACAGATGTACATTTATTTATAAATTTTTCATAAATGTACAAAAGACAAGTAGAACAGTTGACTTTGTTATTTAAATAGATCATTCACGCTAGCCTGCATCCTAAATCTAAGTGCTGAACTAAACTGAGTGCTAAGTGAGGTCCTATGGATGGGTGGTTGGATGCGCTGTCTACTTTTTTCTAACTTTATTTGGAGTGTACAAAGTGTACACTGCATTAAAGTGACATTAAAGGCAAAACATTTTTTCCCTCCCCCAATGTTAATGTCAGCACTTACCTTAAATGATTTCTCTTAATCCGATCTTTTTTCCTGATGTTTTCATCTGTCCCTCCAGCGGTGCGGTGGCTCTCCGATCCAACGCTGACTCCTCTGTCCTTGCAGGCACTTCCGATCCAGCGGTGTCTGCATGTGGGTGGACGCGTCCATAGACTTACCTTGCGTCTCTGCTCGTCTCCCGTCTGAAAATCCGAACTGCGCATGCGCCCGCCCCAAGATGCTTTGCGGCCGCCCGAGCAGTTTAGTTTTCTCGGATGGGAGCGCGCAGCGCAGACGGGGTAAGTGTAAACTGCTGTTAAAGCGGGTTTAAAAAAAAACCAAACAACTTTTTGTCTATATCTACTGCTTGCTAGCCGTAGATATAGGCAAAAAAACGGGAGGGTTTAGAAACCCTTTAAGGCCTCTGCACAGCCATGCTGTGCAATCTGGATGATAAATAGGAGCAAAGGGAAGAAGTCCAATTTTAACAAATGAATCCTCCCCAGGCATGTGAGCAATAGCCCTCTCCAATTCTTCAAGTCTGTAATTAGTTCCACAATCTGATGGAGTGTTTTTGCACTTGATTAACAGCAGATGGAAAAGGAAATAAGACTTCCTCTTGACCTGCTCACAGCATCCCTGCAGGTAGTATATTTGGTGCAAACATCTATAA